TGGTATCGGTATCGGCGAGTACCTAAACTGAAGTACTCGTACTCAGTCTTGAAAAAAACTGGTATCGGGACACCCCTAGTGAATATGTTTGTTCACTTGATAAGTCATTACAAACACATAGCATGTTGCTACCGCGACACTAGCGCTCACCATCAGAGGAGACGTTAGCGTCTTTTATAGTGGCTTTCGGGCGAAAAGCCCCTATTTGGGAGCGGCTACGTATGCTGTGTTTTTGGGAAACTGTAGTCGGTGAGTTTACTACTTTATTATACTACTTCTGTGATATTACTACTATTTCTACTTCCTGTTATCTTCTTCATCATCGTCTTTTTCGCCAGTAAAAAACAGCCGGTTGTGATCACGCGACTCCCRTGATGCGAAAAAAGTGTTTCCATTGCAGTTTTGCGAAAAACACCAATTTCGATACGGCCGAAATACCACCTCATCCTAGTGCAAAAACCTTTTGTCAAAAAACGTAATTTTTTTCAAAATTGATGTGTTTCCATTGAGCAAATTTATTTTCGAAATTCTAATTTGTGCATTTTCATGGTCAATGGAAACGCAGTTAATGTGTAGGGAGAAAGTTACAGGTGTTTACACGTTAAGAACATGCCTACCTTGATGACGGGGCCTTTGGGAGTCACACAGACTAGAACATTGTCAGGCTTCAGGTCTCGGTGGGTGATGCCCAGGCTGTGCAAGAAGGCCAGAGCACTGCAGAGCTGCAGTACCACACTGTGATCACGCTGAGGGTCTGGTGGCCTGGAGAGCAGGAAGTGGTTCAGATCACCTCCATCACAGTACTCCATCACGAGCCATAGGGCTAAGCAGCGCAGAGGTCCATCCTGCTCATCCTCATTCTGTGCCGACCTTTTCCTGCCTCTGCTTGGAGGTCTTTGTGGGGTTGCGCAATCATGAGATTTGACCAAGTCCTGGAGTTTAGCTCTGGCCTGGACCGTGTTGGTCTTGTCCTGAAGTCTAGAATTAGAATTAGTCCTCCTCAAATTACTTGAACTGTCTTTTCTCCTCCTCTGATCTTGTTGGACTCCCACCACAGTGCCCTTCAGTACAGTCTCAACAAGACGCAGGGGCGGTTTTCCTGATTTTAGGGGCTTCAGGCTCCTCGGCCCGGTCTGCAGGAGGCAGCTGTGGAGAGCAATCACATTCACGTGGTTTTTGGCAGTGGCCCTCATGGCCCACAGCTCTTGCAGGTAGAGTTCAATAGACTCTGGGTTGCTGCAGGGTAAGCGCTTGATGGCCACTACGTTTCCTGTTTTGGCCATCTGACCCTCAAAGACAACTCCATAACTGCCCCTGCCCACCTCCCTCTCTAAGGTGTACAGCTCCTCCATCTTTTAATGGCAGCCTAATATGGAGAAAAAAAATAAAAATAAACATAACGTCAATATCCCTGACCTTAAAACTACTTCACGGTTTTTTTTAACACCACTGCCTGTTTTGGGGCATACAATATTTTTACTAGATTAATTTATCGCTTGTGTGACAGTATCTACAAAACATGCGAGCGAGATAGATTAAGAGATAGATTAAGAGATAGATTAAGAG